TTACTTTCTCGGAATATATTTAAAAACGACAGATCTTTACTCAATCTTTTAAGGGTATGTTAACTTCAAATGAACAGAAAGGAAATAAGAGTAGTGTTTATCTTTACCAACTTAGCAACTACACATGTCTATACATACAAAATCAGGAATAAGAACTCAGTGGTGCACACATGACGCAAGGAATGTCAAACCTAACTCCACTTTGGTTGTTATTAATCTAGGTCACTTTGAATAATTGTTGAATTTACTAATAGGCCTTTATCGAGTCAATGATTATTGAATCACAAAGAAGGTAATTTTATTAATTGAATTGATAAGATTTCTATCTCAAACTTTAGTAAACACTAAAAAGAGAGATTATTGTTTAGAATCCTTTTCCGAATAAATAAGCTAGGTAGGAAATCAATAATCCCGATTCTCATTTCTTTTCTTTGCTTTTTACGTTTATATATTTTCCTATTACTTTTCATTATGGTATGGTGAACATACCTAAAAGTACATATATAATTAGTTAATGCTGAAAGCATAATTTATTTCGTTTCCAAAGGATTTCATGTAAATCCGGAGCTCTATTCTCACACACACACAACTCACTATAGAGTTTAAATAGATCTTTAGTATCATGTTACAAATGCTATCTAGATGCTACTCCTCCGATAACAGAAACAAGGCCAATCCAATGGGACACACACACACACAACTCACTATAGAGTTTAAATAGATCTTTAGTGTCATGTTACAAATGCTATCTAGTATCATGTTACAAATGCTATCTAGATGTTATAGAGTTTAAATAGATTTTAGTATCATGTTACAAATGCTATTTAGATGTTACTCCTCCGATAACATAAACAAGGCCAATCCAATGGGATCCAAATATAACCATGCTTCAAATGGCATTCACTTATAAGAGTACAGAGAAATGCTAGCATCACTCTTTGTCACTCTAAAAAGCACTCTCTTTGTAACTCTATGCATTCACAATTTGGCATGTGGACTCCACTATCTCATTTTTTGTTTAAATAATAATACACAATACAATATGAAAGACCCTAAGTCACAAGTTGATAATTAAATGATGTTTTAGTACTCCTTGGTTCCATTAAAAGTTATGTGAGGCCATGCATTGCACAGTTATAGCTCCGAATTCAAGCACATGAAGCTCCAAGTAACCATGATAAGTGAAGAAGTAAAAGTAAAAAAAAAAAAAGAAAAAAAAAAGTTTTTGCAGTGTGATTTTTTGTGATCATAACTAACTTTCTTGGGGCCAAGCTTTTGATCATGCAAGTATGAGCTTTGGGGTATAGAAAGTTCTAGAGTCTAGTAGTCTATAATTCTCATAACAAGTTTCATGTATTTTCATTAAAGGTTCGTTTCAAGGATAGTATACACAGGGAATTTCTCTTGCTCTTGCATATAAAGACGACTTTTATAAGCTTCGGCTGTACTAATTAACAACTAACCAACTCATGTATATTTTACAGTTTGTAATGTGATTTGCATATATATATTAATCCTTCATTTTAAGTGAGGTATAAGTTTCGTCAGATGGGTTGTCAGCAAAAGCTGAAACATACATAGACTCCACATAACAAACTCTAATTGGCATTTTAACAAGCATCACAATCAGAAAGTTAACCAAAGTTCCATAAAATCTCAGCCACCTCCCATATGAACAGCGTAGACAACTAATAACAAGTAGAAATCTTATATAAAATTAGATCGGAATGTTTGTTAAAAACCACCTTTTACCTCCTAGTAATTATTACGATTTTTTGACCTATGATGAACCCCCTTCTAGATTCTCAATGACTTTTAAACGTACGTACGTCTAGATACTGAAAGAAGAAGAAATATCTCCAATCAGAAAACTCGTCTAAAGCAAGTACTTATAATAGTCATTCGTGATGTAATTGCAACTTTTGTAGGGCATATATACATACACACACTCACATATATAATAAATGGCCACCAAGAAAACTAGCAATTATATAAGTACTAGAAGCAAGGGCTAGGTACAACGGTGCACTTGACGAGCGGATTTATGATCTTACAAGCATTAGATCAAGTGATTAGTACTTGAAATGAAATAGAGAAAATCTATCAAGATATTTTTCCAAGAAGATCAACACAAAAGCATCTTCAGGTACAACACAACAGCTAGGCAGTGATATTATCAAGTACTTGAAGAGAAGGGAAAAACTAAATATTATATATAAACAAATGGGCAAGGATCATTTTGCAGAATCTACATGGTATTGAAGAGCTAGGTACCGGTCAAACAAAATTTACAGATACAAACACACACACGTGTATATATACACATACACACACACTAGACTCCACCATGATCAGTGCATTAACCCATACCTTATAGCAAACAACAAGAAGGGCAAATAGCAATTATATATACTTGTTTCTTTTATGGGACAAAATTTTCATAGTACGAAGTTAATGTTTACATGTTACGAAGTAAATAAACATATAAGTACTCGAAAAAGAAACATGGGTTTCGTGAATCATTCCTCAAAAAAAGCCAAAAAAAAAAAAAAAAGAAAAAAAGAACACATACTCGGGGCTTGAGAACTCATAGAGCCTGCCTTTCTGAGAGAAGATGATCACCGCAACCTCGACATCGCAGAGAACCGAGAGCTCGTGAGCCTTCTTCAACGACCCATTTCGTCTCTACGAGAAAGTCACTTGCCTGTTTGTGGCATTCTCGATCCTTCTCATCTGAATTTTCTCTCTCACCATTTTTGCCCTCCTACAACATCACCAAACGGAAAATTGGGGGTTTTGTTTTTTTAAATATTGTATTTTAAGGAATAAAGTGATTAAAATATTTACATAATCTGTGTTTTTTTAAAAGTCATACGGAGCTTGAAAAGGCTTAAACGAAGGAAGTAATACAAGTGAGAATGATGCTTTCCAAAAAAGAAAAATACAAAATTGTGTTGTCATGTGCAACATGTCAAAAATCATCGTACAATGACTTGCATAAAAAACCAATAAGTCAGTGACAGCACATAGGCGTTGTCAGCAAAACAAAAGGACTTTAGACCAATGCGAAACGACCGCGTCTCGTGGCTCACCTTGTTTGGCGGGTCATCAGCTCGTACTATTTTTCTTTTAACTTTAATGCGCGTGTGGAAATAATAAATAATAAAGTAATGCCAACTACAATTGGAGGGTTCGGCGGTGCTGGAATAATGGTTTTGTGACCGTAAAAATGCGGTAATAAAGCACTAGTAAGTCAATAACAATGCTTAGCTTAATTAGGATTTTTAGAACACTTACCCTTAAATTTGTCGTGACTTAATAAATTATCTCTTAAATTCTTAATTTGGATAATCAATTCTCTCACTATTGCATTTAATCCATTTGATAAACTTTTTAAAAAACTTACAGAATTTGACATGTGCACGTCGTATGTAAGGCTTTAAAGAGGTAAAATTAGTATTTTACATGCCCTAATATGTAAAAGTCATACAAAACTTAAAAAGACATAAACAAATAGGGTAATATAATTGTTAGGGCCCTTAACAATTAAAATGCTTGAAAGCACCACATAATTTATAGAGAGTGTTATTTAATTGTGAGTTAGTTATGAGTTATATGCTATTGGTTTTATTTTTTTATTTGTGTGTTGCGCTTTATCGTTGCATTTATTGTGCTTGTTTAATTCTAACGTAAAAGTTACCCCCCATATAAAAGGATTATTGGCGTTGATACTTGAACTTTAAGTAAGGTGGCATTTTGGTCCATAAACTTTTAATTTTGATGTATAAGTTCCTAAATTTTTTTTTATTTTTGACAATTTTAGTCCTTAAAATTGAAATTAACAAACAATTTTTGAAATTTAATGTACATAACTGCATCTTTGTTGCATGAGAATAAAATTTTTTACAAACAATAGTAAATGCAAAATATTAGTTTTCTACAAGTTTTAATACTAACAAATAGAAGATTTTCCATTTAACGCAATTATTTCTGTAAAATCTTAAGCTATCATGCAATGGACACATCATTATTTTTGTTAATTTCAGAAATCATTCATCAATTTTAGTGTTAAGTACCAAAACTATCGATAAAACGAAAATTTAAAGACTAATATATCAAAATTGAAAGTTCGTGAATTAAAACGTCAGTATGCTCAAAGTTTAAGAACTAATGGCTAACTGCTTTTAATTTTTTTAAAGAATGATCCTTGTAAAGGAAATTGTTTATGTGATTTCAGGCTTGGCTTAATAATAATATCACCCACCTCCTTGTTGAATTTTTGAGTTTGAATCTTACCTGAAACACTCCCATATTTTCTTTTTCTAATTATATTTTTTACATGCATACTATATACCCACTACAAGAATTTGAATTTTTTGTTACCAAAAATTTGGTAACCAAATGCCCTGTTTTTGGTAGCAAAATATTTTTCTTACCAAAAAATTTTGGTACCAGAAAATGGGTAGCAGAAAGTATTAGTTACTAAAATTTTGGTAGCAAATAGTTTTTGCTACTAAAAATTTTTTTAGTAACAAAATGTATTTAGTAGTAAAATATATGATATTCGGGGATCAAAAATTTCGGTAGCAAAAAGTGTGCGTTTTCTGATACTAAAATTTTGATAGCAAAATATATTTAGTAACAAAAAGTATGCAATTCAGTCACTAAATATTTGGTAACAAAAGCTATTTGGTAACAAAAGTCATGAGATTTAAGGACCAAATATTTAGTATCAAATTGTATTTGATAGCAAAATATATGAGATTTGATAACCAAATATTTGGTAGCAAAAAGTATTTAGTAGCGAAAAATATGAGATTTAAAGACCAAATTTTTTGTAGCAAAATGTATTTGATAACGAAAAGAACAAGAATCATGTACCAAATATTTAGTAGCAAATAACTAATTTGTTACTATTAAATCTTTTTGGTCACCAAAACTAAGACAAATTTATATACCTGTATTTTTTGAAATAATATATACAAATAAAATACCAAATATTAATTTAAAAATCTCTAAATATTTCAATACATATTAGAATCCAAACAAAATACTAAAAAATTCATACTTAAGCAAACCCAAATACTTATGCAAATATTATACGAGTAAAATCTTAATATTACAAAAATTAAACGCTCTAACAAACTGAGGCTGGTAGTGGTGGTGGCGGTGGCATAGGATCTTCTCCTAATGGAGGTATATTGAGAAATTTCTTAGGTAAAATATTCCCATATGCTGCTGTAATACAAAGTTCTGGCTTCAATTCTCTTAAGTTGGACAAGAAAATCTCCTGCACAAAAATAAAAAGGAAAAATGAAACCACCATAATCTAGAATTGGAAATCCTTAATGGTATCATATCAAAATTCTAACAACACTCCTTCAATCATTTTAATCAAAAGGAGGCATTACAGCAGATGCTAAAATGTTACTTCCAACTGCAAGCATATCAATTGCCTCGTGGGTACAATAGATGCTCAATAAAGAAACCAGGAAAGCATGAATAATGGACAAACACACATCTAGACAAACATGTCAAAAGCTCATTGATGGTTAAATCTAATACTTTGTATGATAAGAGAGAAGAAAAGAAAGGTATATAACCAAGGTGAGGAAAATAGAGAGGAAGGAAATGATCTTTCTCTTATTATGTTATTTTGAAGTTTGATGTAAGGAATGTGTGGTGGCCCTAAGGTTCCACGTATGGAGCAAACTTCATAGGCAATGACAATTACGCTACCAAGGTTTAGCTAACTTCGACATATTGGTGGGGATGGCCGTTAGAGTGAAGCAAAGCATACTTACCAAGGAATTCTGAACCGAAAAGGTTTAACAATATGCCAAGCGAAATGGTATACACCGGCAACATATTATTGTCATAACTTCAAATATCACTCGATATAAGGAACTAGGTCATAATACACAAATTAAACATCATAGCCACGGTGTATATGTACCTGAAAGCACGTTCTTGGTTTGACATACCAGCCTCAAATGTGTATACTGCAGTACAAGTTCACATATCATATGAAGAGCTTTCAATAATAGAATCAAAATACTGAAGCAGTTCAAAACATTTGGGATTCTTCTCAAAAATCAATTATTTTCCTTTCCTTTCTTTTCTCTTCAGTTTTCTCCGCAACAAAAAAAAAAAAACGTACGCACACACACGCACACAAAATCTAGCAGTTACCTTTGGCGCTGGAGGCTTGAAACCGGTCAAGAAGTAATAAAACCAAAGTCATTTTTAGACATCAATTCCTTACCATCTCTCTGTGAGTTTAGGTTTTTTTTTTTAAGGCAATGAGATCAGTAAACGTGTAGGCTATATAGCTTGTTTATACATCTAAGATCAGTCCATAAACTAAGAAAACAAAGAAATTCATGCTTGTATGATGATCTTTGGCCGAAGAAATCAACAATTTTTAAAAACTAATAAGAAACTTGCCAACCCACTAACTGTTTGACAAAATGACAATGAGAGCAAAAACTAAAGCACAAATGAGAAGAAAGGAAGACATGCCTATCTTCCGAATGTGTACTTTGCGCTTAGGGGGCTGAGGCTGAGCAGGAGCCTCCTTGGCCTCGCGAGCCGCCCTCTTGGCCAAATTCGTCTGGCGGCGCTCATAGCTAACCAAAAATAACAAAATCATAAACGAACCCTAATTTCAATCGGAGGTGAAATTGAA